AAAGAGAGAGAACTAGAGAGGAAGACAAGTACTCTGAACACGGTCTTATGCTGCATTTCCCTGTCCCCGCCCCAGCCTTCCCAGCCAACCTGGATCACATGCTCCCCTCCCTCCCCACGCAGACAGGTCAACTCCATCTTCCATACAGACCCAGTTTTGCTTAAGCAGTGCATTACCGCTGCACCACCAGGCTGGCCGTAGGCAGGGCTTTGCTTTCATGCTGTGGTTGATAGCTAAGGTACAGGTGGCAATTACTCTGGGGGTCAGGATTTATATAAATTAACGCCATTTGATCCTCACAATACCACCACGAGGCAGGTGCTGTCATCCCCATTTTATAGTGGAGGACACTGAGGTGCAGAAAGCTAACAGCCTGGCCGGAATCACTAGGCCACGGCAGGAAACCAGCAAAGTGGCTCCCACCTGCATTATCTGGCTTCTCAGGACCTGCCTGTCCTGCCATCACTCCCACCCAAATCGGGGGACATCAGCCCAAGATCAAGGCCAGCTTCTTGCTAGACTGGACTGTGGTCACTTGTCTTTCTGCTGGGGTAGGGATGGACACCTTAGGGCAGCAAAATCTCAGGTGTCCCTCCATGGAGGGGGGCTTCCTCCACTCCCTCTCCCGCCCTCAGGCCAGCCTATGGCACGTGGGCTCATTCACTGGCGTTTTCCTTCCAAAGGGGCCTCAGGCCTGCTGTGATGGCTGCTGGGGTTCAGAGGTGAGATGTTGGCTTGGTCAGGATTTGGACAAAGCCCAGTTTGAATGATCCCCAGAGAGAGCTATGAATAGGGCCTGCGGGAGCTGGCGCTGCCTTTCCCCTATACCCCACCCCTTCAAACAACCCGCCTTCAGACCCGGGCCCCCCTGTTTCTTGTGAACCCATGCCAACTTGTCAGCAGGGCAGTGCCAGTCCGTACCAGGCGGGCATCGCCTCCCCCACTGCCTCAGTGGGACATGGCGCTGAGATGGCTTTGAGACTGGACTTTGGGGAGGGTTTGAAGCCCTGTGGGGGTGGAGTGGTTTCGTCACCTGTCAGAGACTGTCAAGACCAAAGGGGTCAGCTGTCCAACTCCCTCGTGCCGCAGTGGGGAAACTGATGCCAGAGACCACCCAGGTCTCTTAGCCTGGGCGTGGCAGAGGAGAACCCTCACCCTCTGAGTCTTCCTGTGGTCCTGTCCTTAGAGGCCTCCCTTAGTGCAGGGTTCTGGGACTGGGCCCTGAGTGGCTGCTGTGGGGAGGAGGGAAAAGTGGACAATGTGTCCTGTTCATCTCTGTGTCCCCAGTGACCAGCACAGAGCCTGGCACAGAGCAGCTCTCCATAAATGTTTGTGGAGTGCAAGCCAGGGAAGTCCCCTCCCTGCGCCTCCCAGCGGCCCGTGCCTAGCTCCGTCCCTGGCATTGTCATGGTCGAGTACACATCCGTCTCCTCCAGCAGACGGCAGTTATTTAAGGGCAAGAATAATAATAATGGCAGCTACTCTCACAGTTCTTGCTACTAGGCAGGTGTCGTCATCCCATTTGTCAGAAGGAGATGGGCACAGAGATTGCATGCTTCCTAGGGTCACGCTGCAAGTAACTAGCAGATCTGAGACGACCTTGCTCTCAACCTCATTCCAAGTGGCCCCAGAGGTGTCATGTGTGTGCCTTGGTATCCACAGGTCCTGACACGCAGCCAGTACTCAGAGAATGTTTGTTGACCGGCTGAATGACTGAATGCATGAATGATGGGACAATGTATGGGGAAAAAAATAGAGTATCCTGTAACTTAGCTCTTTGGAAGTAGGCAGGATTGGCATCTTGGGAAGGCATCCTGGTGACGCGTCACTTGTCATGTAAGCCAAACGTGGAGTGGAAGGGGACGTTCATTCACCATGTTCTGTTGCCACGGCCCTCCCTCCAGGCTCGGGCGGGCCCCTGAGGGCTCACGGTCTATGGCTTCTTTCTTGCTCTTAATCCCCCCTTCCTCTAGAGTCCCAAGGGGATGGTGCTGAGGAATGGACACGTGGGAAAAGACTACAGAGCGGATTAAAGAGGCCTGTTCGTTTTTTATCTCTCTGGCCCTGAGATGTTCACTGCAGTGCATCACCAGTGGTAGGACAGTCTGTCCCTTTTAAGCTGGAAGGTGGACAGAGTCTGGTTTGGGCCAGGGCCTGTTACGCTATCAGTTCAACACTACTCACCACAAGGGGTATTGGGCTCCCAGCTACCTCTGTGGCTTAGGGACACCTTAGGCCCAGGGACATCTTGAACCTCCTCAAACCCTGATGCACCTGGGCAGGTAACCTCTTCCCTTCTGACTCCTTTCTCATTTGCTGGTTGGAATTTCTTGGAGTCAGTCATTACCCTTAGGCCACACTTCTGCTGATAGGAGTGGGTGGGGCTCTGTGGGAGGTACGACCCACCTTCTAACACAGACAGGCCAGCCATGGGAGATGAGGATCTGGGCCGCCATGGCCCCCTGTTACCTTGGGAGGCAGGAGCACCCTGTGGTGGAGCGTACGGTGCTGCCTTCGGCTGCTGAGGTGAAGTTTTTAGTTCTGCCCCTTCTTCACTGTGCAATCTTGAATGAGTTTTTGCATTGTTTCAGCCCGTTTTTTCTTTTTCTCTTTCCTTCTTTCTCTCCTTTTTTTCCCCCCTTTCCTTCTTTTCTTTCCTTC